AGCTCAGCATCTGTTTACTTACTTGTGCTGTTTTAAAGTTAGCCAACATGTGCCCATTATAGAATGCCTATAACTGCCTTGAGGCAGGTAGATGTGGACAGGAACAAAAGGTTATTACTGCTCATCCATCTAAAACTTTGTATTTATAAGGCTTCTTACTATCAGAGGACTGGAATGGTGAAACAGTCCTTTGATAACCAGGCAAAAAGGTGAACTGTTTTTAAACGTGAGCTTTATTTTAAAGAAGGCATTATATATTTTAGTTGTCTGCAGTAATGGAAGACTAAGTGGGAAATATGGATCAGAAAGCTTCACTCATTTCCTGCAGCTGAGGGAATTATTCTTTTTCTTGTTAGGTATCTAATTATTGAGTAGAATAAAAGGGCTCTTATTACTGGATATTTGACTGTCTGCCTTCCTCATTCTTTATGTTACCTCTTTGAACTTCTAGGGCTGGCAGCAGTAGCCAGAATTAATTCTGCAGTTCGAGTGGGTGATGCTGAGAAAACTGTGGCAGAAATGATGAATCCAGAGGCCCAGTTACCAGAGGTTTATGCATTTGCTGCAGATCTGTACCAAAGGGAGCTGGCCACCTTGCAGCAACAAAGCCCTCAAGTAAGTACCACATTCTGACCAATTTTTGGAAATTGGTGGGGATCACTGGGTGTACCTAGTCTTTTTGTTAAATGCGTTAGTTGGAACAAACTTGTCTTCGGTCTTCATAGGACTGCTTTGGTGTTCAGTCTGTTGTAATGTGAAGTTTAATCCCTAAATCTTGAGCTACTTTGGCCCTGTAAACTTCTATTTTAGTCTCTTACTTGGTGTTCTAGCTTTGTTTACGATACTCATCTTCCTTCATCTGTGTGACAACTACTCTATTCTGTGTTCTGTCTGCAACAATCCACAGTTTTTAAAGAGCAAGTGGAATTAATTTTTTTGACCTCTTTGTATGCAGGGTAATCTCACCCATCCAGAATTATCTGTTGCTGTAGAGATGTTGTCTTCTGTGGCCCTGATTAATAGGGCTTTGGATTCAGGGGATGTGAATACAGTGTGGAAACAGCTGAGCAGTCCTGTCACGGGGCTTACAAACATAGAAGATGAGAACTCTCAGAGGTGGGTATTTCAAGGAATGATGCCTGTCCTTGATGTTGCTTTTTTCCTATGATGTTTTGGTTTATATTTTCCCCCTTTTACACTTCATGTTCTTTCTTATGTTTTCTTTATTATGGCATTGTTTTAATCTCCATTGGCCCTTGTGTTCTTATTTTTGAGATTACTGTTTCTTGCTACTCTGATGTCTGTGCTATGTCTCAACACTTTCTCATGGCTTTCACGCTAAAGCGATGTTGTTTTACCATTACGTTGTCAGTAATACTGTGCCAGCTCACCTACTGTGTTCTTTGCCCTGGACCCCCATTCAGTGTTTTAGTGCTTTTGTTGATTGTTTCATATTTGGGCTCACCACCCTGCACGCAGCAGTTCCTCTTTCTCTTCTTGCCCGTTTCCGTATTTGTTTCAGTTTCAACTCCTACCTTACCTCTTCTGCTTCATGTACAGTTTGCATGCTGTGTTGTATAGTCCCTGGCCAGCTTGTTGCCATGTGATGTTCGTTGTTTCTGGATTTGGTCCCTTCATAGGTATATCGATGACTTGATGAAGCTGAAGGCTCAAACACATGCAGAAGGAAATGAATTTATCACGTGGAATGATATCCAGTCGTGCATTGATCGTGTGAATACAGTTGTGCGTGAAGAACATGAAAGTAAGTTTTTCTGCCTCATTCATGATAGACTGATGCTTGCTCATATGGAGTCCTAAGATTAGGTGCATGTCAATACAAAAAGCTATTGATTGACTTGTGTCATACGTTAGGTATCTAGGAAGATCTTAGTTGTGAGCAAGATTTCTCATAGAATCATAGAATGTTTATGGTTGGAAGGGACTTTGAAAGATCATCCAGTCCAACTCTCCTGCCAGAGCAGGATCACCTACAGTAGATCGCACAGGAACGTGTCCAGGCGGGTTTTGAAAGTCTCCAGAGAAGGAGACTCCACAACCTCTCTTGGGCAGCCTGTGCCAGTGCCTCGTTATCCTCACAGTAAAGAAATTTCTCCTCATGTTGAGGTGGAACTTTGATAGTCTGTAATATGAAAGCTTGATAGCAGCACTGTTGATGGAGAGATCAGGCAGTCAGGAGTGTTTGTGGTATTGAAATCGGTATCTCCAAACAGTTTACTAATCTTTCCGATGCAATTGTCAACCCTTTTTGGATAAAAAAATTGCATTGTCTGCCATTGATGTCAAGGATTAGTTTTGCTTTGATCCCTCAAATGTATTGAAAACTAATATTACCTAAATCTGGGAGTTAATTGTATCCCAACCTTGAAGTACTCCATCTTCCTTCCTAATTTGCTGCATTCGTTGAAGTTACATTTCTGGAAGTTTTGTTGTGTCTTTGGCTGCCATCAAAAAAACCCCTAAACCAAACCACCTCTGCTCAGGTTTTTATCTCCTCCCTTTTAGTCCTTCTTTTGAATGTGCTTTGGTCTCTTTAATTTTCCAGCATTTTGTGGAAGTTGCGCAGACTCAGTCCAGGATCCCCCTCTGCTGTGGGTAGTCTGGCCTGCAAGTGTGAGATAAGCTGCCAGTCTTTGTGCTGATGACTCTCAGAAGTAATGGTCTGTTAGATGCGTTTCTTTCCAGAGAAGCCAGAGCCTCGGAAAACTGTAACCTGTGAGCTCTAGTCATTTGGACTTCAGTAATTCTTTGCTAGTGGCTCTGAGCTGGATGTCTGAGAACCAAATTCTGTCCCTGCAGTTGGTCTCCTGGAGTGATTTTATTTATTTATTTATGTGGCTTTTGTTAATTGCAGTGTCCAGGTGTTATGACTGCTTTAAGATGGAAAAGAAGTCTTGCTTTTTTACTAGTAAATAAGGTTTTATGTTAAAAATATTGCAGTTTTCAGCTGATACCTGGTTTAAGAAGGACTAACTGCACTTTTTTTCTGAAGCAATGCATAAGGTTATTGTTGAGCAAAAATGGAACTTTGTATTTCTGCCCCTACACCTTCCTCCCTAGGAATTTTGGCCATTGGTCTTATCAATGAAGCTTTGGATGAAGGGGACACCAGAAAGACTATTCAAGCCTTACAGATTCCTGCAGCAAAATTGGAGGGTGTAGCCCCAAAAGTAGCACAGCATTACCAGGATACACTACTTCGAGCCAAGAGAGAGAAAGCACAGGTAAGTGCAATTAAATGCACCTCTCAGAAAACAGTTACATCTGTGTTAATGGGCTTGTTACTGGTCCTGAAACCCAGGAATTGGAGAGCTGGGAGTTCTGCATACCATCAACTGACCCTACCCAGTCAGTCTTTGTCTTTATATACTAGAGAAAGAGGTTTGTAGCCAGGCTGCATGAATCTTCATGAGCTATGGAGTTGGGTATAAGGATATTAACAGCATGAGGTCGCTTGTTACCACTGATTCCAGGTCCTGAACGGATTATGTGTCTTGTTTGCAGAGTTCTGAACTTGTGAATGCAAGTTTCCTGCAGTCTTAAGTATTTTTTTTAGTGTGCTTTGTTAACTGCAGTCATAGGCATAGTTATATAGAGTAAAAAAGCAAGTTTCTGTAGTGACATTTTTATTGTTAATGATTTTTTTGAGCAGTAGTTGTCTTCCTGACTAACCAGGAGCTTCTACTTACTTGCACAGAGTTGCCACTTTCACAAACTGACTAAATCTGAAGGTGAAGATGAGGAGGGGGAGAGCAAGTCTCATCTTACAGGTTTAGGAAAGAGGATGGGTTGTCAGGCACTGGACCAGCCTGCTCAGGGAGGGGGTTGAATCAACCTCCCTGGCGGTGTTTAGGAGATGGGTGGATATTGTGCTGAGGGACATGGTTTAGTGTTGTTGATAGGACTAGGACAGAGATTGGACTCAATGATCTTGAAGGTCTCTTCCAACTGAAACTATTCAATGATGAGAGTGTACGTGTGTGTACATAACCGATTTTTGAGTAGTGTGGATGAGATACTGATATTTTTTTTCTCATCTGTTTACAAAGAAGTAGCGGACATCTGCCTTCAGTGGCCTGAGAGTGTTGTGGCATACTTTTTTTTTTTTTTCTGCTATGGAACACGTTGTTCCAATACCAATGCAGAATTTTTCGTAGAGATTAAGATCTAGATTGTATTGAACACTGGATATTTTTTACTAAAGGTAATAGATGGCAATAGCTGAAAACTGTGCATGTTTCTGATGAAAATAATTAATTAGCTTCCCCACGGGTTCTGAAAGGGTTAGTTAATGTTCCTCAGGAACCCATTTTGTGCTGAAGCATTTCCTCCTGTGAGTCAGAATGAAATAATGAACTCTTTTTAGTGTGGCTTAAGTTTGTGCCAGGCCCTGCTGGTAACTGCTCAGTTGGTGTGGAATTACCTTATTTAGGCATATGTTCAGTTTAGGGCTTCTCTCAGCACCATAGCAGTGATTTCGGAAACTGAAAGATCATATTATAAAGTAACACTGCAGGGGAAAATAGTTGCTCTCTGAAGTCAGCTGGTACTAACTGGTGATTTCTGTACCTTGGGGCTGAGAGGGGTTTTATTTCGCCACAAGGCTTGTTCCGTTGCTTCTGACAACAGGGAGCACCGTGTGATACGTGTTCCTCACATGATGAGAAGCGAGAGAAAAGCACCAGACCCACTAGTATGTTACCCTGTGCGTACCTTCTGGAAAGAGGGCAACAGTAAATTCGTGGAGAAGCATGGGATGGTTTCAGTACTCTTCAGGTTGACTTGCTCGTAGAGATTGCAGTTGTTTCTTTGATTATTCTCTCCCACTCCTTGGACAGGAATTTCGCTGTTGCTGGCACTCTGCTGAGACTGTCTGCGCTTTCAGAGGAAGTTGGCCTGTGAACTACGTTAGCCTCTTAAATGAAGGATCGTGAAGCGTATTGATTTCAGACCCACCAAAGCAGTGGGGAAAAATGTGGAGGCCATGTAATGAAACGTTCATTTTCAGTTTGACCCTGAAGCTCTCGAACACTATAAACAGTGTCTCTTTCGTGCAGTGTGATTATTATTCCATACCAGCAGTAAATGTTTCCTGTGTTCTGTTTGTGTGACAGTTGTCAGAGGAGTGGCAGTTGCCTCTTAGCATTTTTTTCAGTAGTTACCTACAGGAAGCAACATTGGGTGGGGAGAAACTATGCTTGGCAGCAGCTGGATCATTGTTCTTTCTTGTTTTGTTTTGGGGCTTGCTAAACATTTGACTCTTTCCTCTTCTCAAATTTCTGCATGTAACACTAACTGATTGGATTTCCTCGAATCCCAGCCAAGTTACAGGATACTGTGGTCACTGCCCCTTGACAAGCATTCTGTTAAAGACCTAAAATGTATCTTTGACTCTTAGGGCCACAGTATGTACAACGCTTTTTGGTTTGCTAGTTTGTAAAGGCTTGTAATCTTCTGTGGACAGGGACAACAACTGCTTGATGTGTCATTAGTTACCTGAGAGTTTTTAGCCTCTGCACACAGATGTGCATCGGCAGCTTTTTGATCTAAGAACTCTTCAAAGCCAATTTCTCTTGAAGGACTAGCTTGTGTTCCTGGACAGTCATGTCCTGTTAGCAAGTACAGTTTTAGGACTAACCAGTGTTGAGCCCTTGGCCTTGTGTTCTGTTTGCTTATCAGAGCGATTCCTATTGTCAGAATTTCTTCTTTGTTCTGTTTCCTGAAAAAGTTTTTGACTAGGAGGAGGTACTGAGTCTGGCAGTGCTGTAGTGGTCTCTACTGGTCACAGATGCACTGATGTCCTTGTGCTGGAGTTGATGACAAAGACTGAAATGCTTCTTACTCTCATATGAAAACCTACTATACTAGCTGTTGTTGAGTATGAGTTATTTTACTTTGGAAAAATAGAGATACTTTTCTCCTCAGGCACTATGTATTTTTTACACCATATTCTCTTCAGGACACACGAGATGAAACAGCTGTACTTTGGCTAGATGAAATTCAGGATGGGATTCATAGGGCTAACAAGGACACAGAGGAGTCCAGGAGATGTAAGTATTGTCACATATTACTGCAAGTAATTCCTATAATGAACCAAGTAGTGGTTACTTAAGGAAAGGTTGGAAGCTAGAAATGTCATGTAAATGTGGCAAAGGAAATAAAGTGCACTTATGTGCATTTGGTGTGTTAACTTTTCTATGAAGAGTGAGTGCCAGCTTTTTCAAATTTGAAATTTCTTAGCTTTTGGGAGGTATATGCCATTTTCCCAGTTTTGCATGTGACCGTGTTACCTCATTGGGCAAATCTGTATCAGATTGTTTGTCATTTGCAACTAACTGTTTGTGTCTGTGGATTAATCATCCACAGGTGCAGGAAAGTTCATGTGCATAATTTAAATTAGGTTTGACAGTGCACATTACCTTTGTGTGAGATACTGTTGTCATCTCAGTTCTGATAAGTATTTCTAGACTACTTTGCATCTTTTTCAAATACAGACGATACTACACATCAGTGATGTACCTTTGCTCCTTAGTGCAGTTTGCTGGTAGTTTGGCCCACCCATCATTACATCCCATTCTTTTCATTTTTCTCTCCAGAAACAATGAAGTAATTGCTACAATTTGTCTGTGTGTGTGTATAGGTGGTGATGATTTTCTTTTGTGGTTTTTTTTCCTGACAGACGCTTTCTCTTCAGCAAAACATGAAGATTTAAAAATCTTTTGATATATTCTAATGGCCTTTTTTCTGTATATGCTATTCATCTGATGGGTACTGCATGCTTCAGAGAGCTTGTTTTCATACATTTGTAAAATCTGATATTGTTCTATTTGCATTTACTCTAAATCTCTAATTTTCTATTAAATTCAATATTTACACCTGTCTATTTTCTTTGATTTGTACAGTATTAGTAAACTCTTTTCTCTTATTATAGTCACCTTATGTTTGTCTTGATTCTGTTTCTTCTTCTCTGGGGTGCTGATATAATGTTTTTTCTTTACGACTTCCAAAACTTCTAATTTGATGTTAGGCTGATACTTTAAGTTATCCAAAGATGCACAGTCAGCCCCTTCTGATTTTGCTTTGCATAGGCAACTGTACTGGAAACTGAAAAGTTTAATGTGAGTCTGGAATCAATTTGGTGCCTTCTGAAACAGGTTGTCCAAAGACGCTGTGGAACCCCCGTCCTTTGAGATTTTTCCACGCTCAGTCTGACAAGGCCCTAAAGTTAGCCCAGTTTTGAGAATGGGATTAGGCCAGATTGCCTTCCACAATGACTTCTTAATGAATCTGAGTATTAGATATACGGAGAGTTTCTGGCATGGTTGATTCCTCTTGTCCTCGCTCTGTTGGCACAGAAATGAGCTTGCTTTTATGTTGGTGCCTTATCTATTTGTATTCTTTATTTGTAGATGTTTTAGGAGAGATAAAAATCAAGACGTTCACAAAAAGCTTTCTATCAAAAGATATAATGAGTTTGTCCAACTCCATAGCTTAGTTCAGCTGTTTTTAGTGACATTATTTGGTCAGTGAATTCCCTTGTCTAATGCCTTAAAAAAGGGGGAGGGGGACAGGGGGAGTAGGGGAGAATATTACCTGTTCATCCTACTGTTTGTTTCTAGCAGTACCAGTGCAACTTTTTCACCATTTTTCCACTCACTGAGCACAGCTTGAGTGTCATGCCAAGGAACAAAGGCAAGTTTAAAGTTTGTGCCCTTAATCCTGAAAACGATCTTTGGATGCCCTTGTCTATCCATGTATGAGCAGGCCTTACCTAGTGCTGGCAGTTACTGTATTGTCTGCTCTGTCGGTGCAATTACGCTGCTCTTGTGACTAAATCTGTATTTCAGTTGCATTTCTGGAATAGCCCTGGAATGACATGTTAATTTTTTTCTTCTTTTTTTACTTGCTTGCAAACTGCTCCGTACTTTTTTCACTAGGCAGGGGTGATACTAGTTGTTGAAAAGGCCCCTTTTGAGTTATGACTGGCTCTGCCAGAAGAAAATGCCTTTACTGACATGAATGTCAGGGTAGAGCTAAAACGTGATGTGGTTTTGAGAAATATTGGTGATAAATCAGCACCATATTGGGACTTGGTCCCACAAATTACGTGCTGTCAGGTGCAGTACAACGTATGGTTGGACACTCTGTACTGAAGAGGCCTCTGTACTACAAGTTGCCTAATTGTTTTTTTTTTTTAATTTGTATTTGTACTTATATACACTTAAACATTTGTATATACACACACACATCAACAGTGTGTGTTTGTTTGCTGTGCTCCGTTCTGTCGTACTGTATTTGCTCTGAGTCACTAACCCCCTGAGTGCCAAGATAACCTCCTTCCTTGTGTTGTCAAAGTCTCCTTAGGAATTCTGGCCATCAATGAAGCCGTAGACCGTGGTGATGTAAGCCAGACCCTGAGTGCTTTGCGTTCACCAGATGTTGGGCTATACGGAGTCACTCCAGAATGTGCAGGGACATACCAGCGAGAGCTGTTAGAGGTCAAGAGAAGAAAAATGTCAGCAGGTAAACAACAAGTAGCTAACTGTTAGTGAAATAAATTCAAGATGATTGCATGTGGAATCAGAACCAAGCATAAAAAGGCCTCTGGGGACAAATCTTGTGTTACAGCTGGCAATTACGAACTAAGGTTAAAAAAAAATTTTATATATATATATTTATGAAAAAGTAGAATGTTATCCACTTGTACAGTGTGTTTAAATAGTTCTTGTATGAGGTCATGAGGGTCTGGGAAACATGCTTTCTCTCGCTTGGAGGGAGGAGCAGCTGTATATGTGGGTTTCCTAGTTGTAACATTGTGTTGCGTGTCTAGTTTTGAGACTTACACTGCAGTTTCTTTTCTTAGGGGGCAATGACAGTGAGTGGGTGAAACACTGGGTAAGAGGAGGCTATCATTATTATCATAACCTGCGGACCAAAGAGGGAGAATGGGATGAACCAGCAGAATTTGTGCAAAATGACACACAGCTGTCACGGGAGGAGATCCAGGTAGAGTAAACAACAGATGCTTTTTCTGGAAAGTTGACACTCCTACACTTCTTGTCCTTAATGCAGCTCTAAGAGAGAGCTCTTCAACACCATCATCATGTTAACATTTACTTCACTGGGCATCATCAGGTAGTATGTCTTCAAAACTCCTTGTCCCATTTCAGAAAAAAATTGTACTGTTGGTGAAAGGCAACAGGACTACGGTGTTGCTGTTTATCAAAAGGCAGCTTCAGAGTTTCCTGTAAGTGGGATACAGAAAGCTGATGTAACATCCTGTTTCTTGTATCTTCTGTCTCTTCTTCCTACCATAACATTAATGCAGAGCACCATATCCGGAGTCACTGCGGCATACAACCGAGAGCAGTTGTGGCTGGCCAATGAGAACCTGATAATGAAGCTTCAGGCTTGCTGTCGAGGATATCTTGTTCGCCAGGAATTCAACTCAAGAATGAATTTTTTAAAGAAACAAGTCCCAGCAATCACTTGCATTCAGGTAATGATAGCCTTTAATTATGTTTGAAACTTGCACTCTGCAATTGTTCTCTGTACACAAAGCTTATTCACAGGTTTTTTTCAATTCAAACAGTTACAACACAGAGTTGTTTTCACCTCATTTTATAAATTATCTAAAGACATTTCTTCTTCCAAAGAGTTTTGGTGTCTATTATCTTCCCAGCCAGAATAGGAGAGAGGAGAATTTACTTGAGGAAGCTTTACCTATAATTTTATTATCAGAATAGCATTTTGGGGAATAAGGCAATATAAACTGTACCATTATATCTTTGTGGTGGTAATATCGTCTGATGAATTACTACTCTGATTCCTCATGAACTGCAAAGAAGCAGCATGGTTTGCAGTGTTGCTGAGTAAGATTCTACTTATCTTCAAATTTATGCAGGGGTTTGGAGGGTTGAGGACCTGAAAGGGATGGTGGAATAATTCAGCCTGAGGTTGGGTGCCTTTACAGGACATCAGTGAAAAGATCTTTCTCTGGCTTTGTAGCTGAAATGTGTCCAAATTAAATAGATCCTTTGCTCCCTATTACCGCTTTATTATTTGAGCAGTACATGTGTGTTTATTTCTACCTAAGTAGCGTGCACTCTACATGTATATTTGAAAAAACCAAACCCACTCCTAGCTCATTAAAATAACACTCCTTCCTTTTAAGTGTAGTGCAACCCCTTGCTTAATTTCTGTTCCAAGTATCAGTAGGAGCGAGGCCTGCTCTGAAGGCTTACGTTTCATCACTGGTCTCGCCAGCAACAGCAGCATCTGGCAGATGATCCTCATGCAGAACAGTGTCTGTCACCGTGAGTGTTTACCTGTAGCTTGATCTGCAGCTGTGCTTCAGAAAGCGTAGGCTCTTCACGGAGTAATTCTGAGTCTCTGCAATTACAGTTGGTGAAATAGTGCTTCACACTGTTTATCTCTTGATAAGACAGCCATGTCTCCCTCACGATTTACTTAGCCAAAAGGGAGGTTGGAAGCTGAGGAGGGAAAAGAAGCTCAGATTTGTAACTACTTCTCTTTAATGAGAAAAGAGAAGTCAGTGCCTGTTTTCCTATTTCAGTCCCAGTGGCGCGGCTACAAGCAGAGGAAGGCATATCAAATCCGTTTGGATTACCTGCGAGCACAAAAGGACCAAGTAGTGAAGGTAGCGAAGGCTCACTGCCGACTTTTGGTAAAACTTCTGCGTCGTGAACCTTGGAAAGGTTTTTATCTGAGTATTTTGGTTACCCTTCCGTAGATTCAATCGATGACCAGGATGTATCAAGCCAGAAAACGTTACAGAGATCGTCTACAGTATTTCAGAAACCACGTAAGAGACTATCTTGTTAAATGAATGCGTTACCTGACTTCTGTACTCTTTCCAGAATGAGGTCAAATGTTTTGGTTTTTTTGGTTTTATTTTAATCCTAGATAAGTGATGTTATAAAAATTCAAGCTTTTATCCGAGCAAACAAAGCACGAGAAGACTACAAAACCCTCAGTAAGTATTGCCAAGAGAATAAAACTGATGTGCCCAAAATCTCTGTTTGCAAGGGATGTTGCTAGTTTGATCTATAACATCAAGACAGTTTTGAAGAGCAATTGGGATGAAATTAATAGGGCTATGCAGAGAATAGGTAGTCTTGAGACTGAAGGAAAACTTGATTCCACATGTTGCTTGTGCTGCTGAAAAACAGAACTGTAGCTTTGCAGATAACTTTGGTGGTGTGAACTACCCTAGGCTGACACTGATTTCCTTTTTTACTGTGTGCTTTTCTCATGATTTACTTAAAACAAGGAATTCAAAGTGTCAGAAGCTCTTTAGACGTAGTGGTGCTAGTTTTGTTCTGGCTATTCCTTGATGTGCTGTTTAAACACAGATAAGGCATGTATTTGCTTCTGTTTTCAGTCTCCTGATGTTTTCTTGCCTATTTTTAGTTAATGCTGAAAACCCACCTATGGCTGTTGTTCGGAAGTTTGTCCATTTGCTCGATCAGAGCGACCAAGATTTTCAGGAGGAGCTTGAGCTAATGAAGCTGCGTGAGGAAGTTGTAACTTTGATCCGATCCAATCAGCAATTGGAAAATGACCTCAATCTCATGGACATCAAAATTGGGCTGCTAGTGAAAAACAAAATTACACTGCAGGTAGGAAATGTGCTGATGGGAGACCACCTACAGGTTGAACTGAGCCCAGCAATAGCAGGGAGAGCTCCTCGCCTTGAATCTCACTTGCTCAAGCCCAGCAGAAAGCGTTGTCCCAGACTTGCAGACTTTACTAACAGTATGTTTGTATTCCATTCCACTAATTTAGTATGTGTTCCTAGAAAGAAAACTGTAGGAGAAGAATCGAGACCTAGAAACACCAGACTGTCTTGACTTAATGAATGCAACAGATTGTACATTTGAAGACTTTGAAAACCCTGTTTTGTTGCTGCTTTCTGGTTAAAAGGAGCCACAAGCAGTGAGAGGATTGATTTCAGAGGCAGGAGACACACTTGCGCCAGTTGATGTTTGTGGTTAATGGAGGCCCGCTCTGTCACTTGGCTGGGGTGATTAATTTCACAAAAAAAAAAAAAAAGCTCTTGCTGATACAACATTGCCTTTTTTCAAGCTGAAGTTCTGGTCAGCTTTTCACTTGGTCCTGGATGGCATGACACTAGGCTTCTCCAGTGTAAAATATCAATTGGTGTAGTGAAGTTAATCTTGGGAGGCAGCTGCAGATTTTGGGCTGATGCCTGCAGCAGAAAGTACCATTGCTGTTAGTGTGTGTAGAGGTAATGAGCTAGCAGAGTCTGAAACAGGATTTTTAGGTTTTAAGCTCAATTTAAAAAGGAAAACGTTTTCTAGCATCTTCAGGATGCTACTAGCTCTGACGGTAATTGCTGCCAAGAGCACGTAACATTTCTAGGGTTTTGGACAAATTTAGGGAGTCAGGGACAAAGCAGAATATGTATTTGCAGCCAGAGAAATTGCCGCCACAGGAAATAATTCTTTTCTTTAATAGCCCGAGGCATACCCTGACTCTGCCTTTCCACATACAAGAGAATTGTGCGCTCAGATGCAGCTGTTTTCCAATATTGTCTGTTATAAAATACTTAGAGCGGAATCTGTCCCTGTTCTTTCCTTTCAGGATGTTGTTTCTCACAGCAAAAAACTTACCAAGAAGAATAAGGAACAGCTCTCTGACATGATGATGCTAAACAAACAAAGAGGAGGTTTGAAAGCTTTGAGCAAAGAGAAGAGAGAAAAGCTGGAAGCCTATCAGCATCTATTTTACTTACTTCAGGTAGGCAGCTGCTAATGCTACTCGGTAACCTCTTGTCTGAGAGGCTTAGATGTCTTGGCACAGTCTTCATTTATGCACTGTAGTTTTGAGACATCATAGTTCTTAGCAACACTGGCCTTTGTGGATGTGCATCATAAACTGCGTTGGGTGGAAGGGATCTTTACAGGCCATCTCGTCCAGCCCCCTGCAGTGAGCAGGGACATCTGTAACTGGATCAGGTTGCTCAGAGCCCCATCCAGCCCGACCTTGGATGACTCCAGGGATGGGGCCTCCAGCACCTCTCTGGGCAACCTGTGCTGGTGTCTCACCACCCTCAGAGTAAAGAGCTTCCTCCTAATGTCTAATTTAAAACTATTGCCCTTTGTCCTGTTGCTACACGCCCTTGCAGTCAGTCCCTCCTCAGTTTCCCTGTAGCCCCTTCAGGTGCTGGAGGCCACTATAGGTTCTCCCCGGAGCCTTCTCATCTCCAGGCTGAACAGCCTCAACTCACTCAGCCTGTCTTCATAGAAGAGGTGCTCCAGCCCTTTGATAATTTTTGTGGTCTTCCTCTGGAACAGCTCGATGTCCTTCTTGTGTTGAGGGCTCCAGAGCTGGACACAGTACTAAGTAATTTTTCTTGTTGTTGTAGACTAACCCAACCTACTTGGCTAAGCTGATTTTTCAGATGCCTCAGAACAAATCCACAAAGTTCATGGATTCTGTCATCTTCACGCTGTATAACTATGCGTCAAATCAAAGAGAGGAATACCTGTTGTTGCGGCTTTTCCAAACAGCATTGCAGGAAGAGATCAAGTATGTGGTAGCACATTCTTGCTGTTGAATGAGTTTTCACAATTTCTTGAATTGAGGCAGTTTTCACATTACGTACCACGCTAATACGCACATAATGCTAACTTGCCCCTTCATTGTCCTCTTCCCATTTCATATCTGTTCTCAGTAGAATGTACAATTGCATTTGCATTAGCTTTCCTTGAGATGACTACTGCCAGATTGCAGGGGAATTCTGAGAGTCGTAAGTTTCTTGCCTCATCTGCCTTGAGACATGTTCCAGTATTGTTCTTATACAGTGTTGTATTTTTTTGGTGTATCAGGATTTTAGTACAAATGCCATATCTGTTTTGTGAGGATCATACTCTTTTAGCAGCTCATTTTATGCTGAGACGTGTAACTAAAGCTGACAGAATTTGGTGTACCTCATGTTTCATCCAGATTCTTTCTTCTTCAGATCAAAAGTAGACCAAATACAAGAAATTGTGACTGGAAATCCTACTGTTATTAAAATGGTGGTAAGTTTCAACCGTGGAGCCCGTGGTCAGAATGCCCTGAGGCAAATCCTGGCACCAGTTGTGAAAGAAATCATCGACGACAAATCACTCAATATCAAAACTGATCCGGTGGATATTTACAAGTCTTGGGTTAACCAGATGGAGTCTCAAACTGGTGAGGCCAGGTATGGGAATTGTTACTACTGTGTTTTTCTAAACATTACTTGGCTGCTTTACGCTGCTCGATTAATAATTCCAAACTATCCTTGGCCTCACTGCATGCATCTGTGTGGCTGATACCGGCTTTTCCATCTCCTCAAGAAGGCTTTCATCTGAGAGATGTAAAGATCATATTCTGGCAGTGGTGTTGAGGGTCTTGAAAAGGAATCTCATTAGGAGATTAAAGAAGAAATGTGCTTTGGTGTTTGCCTGTGTCACCTTGTTAATTAGCTATGAGATGCCCTCTACCCTAAAAGAAAGCATGGTAAGAAAAAGAGTTTGGGTATCGGTTCATGTCAGTCTCGGTTCATGTCGCATTTAGCCCATGCAAACTTAGGTCTTATTAACAAAACCTCTTTTGCTGGCAGAGAAGCACGACATGGCAATTCTTTTAGTCCTAACATCTTTCTAAGTAATATAACCCACTGTTGACAGTTGGATTGTGCTAGATGGTTTTGTTTCGTTGTGTTTTCCCCGTCTTCCAGTGCATGTGATTTGCTATAACTTGAGGTTTCTATTGTGTTGGATTTTTAAAAAAATGTTTTAAAAGGGAGAAAAAACGCAAACAGATGAGTGAGTTTCTCCGTTCAAAGCAACTTGCAGTCATGTATCTTGCAGTATGTCTGTTTCAGAATTCTGGATGTGTTAAAAATGCAGGCGAAGATGTATGTTACAAGAGATATAGGAGACACTTTAACCAGTTATCCACTTCATCTGTCTGTCTTCATTGGAATACTATGCAGTATTGGCACCACTTCCTGCATATTATATCCATTTTATGGGTAGTGTTCTAGCATCTGGCTTGTGTCCAGCCTTTTATAATCTTAGTGTTCGAATGTGTAGCTTGCTTTTCCAGAAATTAATCTGCAGTCTGAAGTACCACTACATATCAAAGGTGGTGCTTTTTTTTACTTAGTGTGCATGGTGCATGCTGTAAGAAAGATAGAGTTTTGAGTTAGCTGGGCCTTTTCTCATAGCGACCACGGCAAGGAGGTGTAAAGGAAGTAAAAGCAAGAAATCTTCAGCTCTTCCAGTGCCTTAGAAGGTTAATTGAAGGCAATACACAACTCTTGGCAGCCAAGTGAATATAAGCTTGTTTCCATGTCAAACTAGAAATTCTTGAAATATGCCAGCCTGGGATTCCCACCTCCACATGTTTGACTTTTTCAAATAGCAAACTGCCCTATGACGTTACACCTGAACAAGCTCTGAGTCATGAAGAGGTGAGGACGCGCCTGGATGCCTCGATCAGAAACATGAGGACAGTGACAGACAAGTTTCTGTCTGCCATCATTAGTTCAGTGGACAAAATCCCGTGAGTCTGACATACCACAGTATTATCCCCGGTAAGTTGTTAGCGGGTTCATGCTTGCAGCAGTCTTAGTTGGTCTTTTCTTTCTCTTGAAGTTATGGAATGCGTTTCATTGCCAAGGTGCTGAAAGACTCCCTGCATGAGAAGTTTCCTGATGCTGGCGAGGATGAGCTTCTGAAGGTGAGGATCTGAACACCTTTGTGAATAATAGTCAGCCAAATGGGCTGTGGCGAGCACATCTCATTCTTTTTCTTTGTGGGGTGTACGTGTGGAGAGGAGTGCATGTAATTACATAAAGCTCATTTATTTACTTCTATGGATAGAAATAGTTTCACATTGAGTTTTTGCTTGTTAGCTTCATATACGTCACCTGAGTTGTAATATATTGTTCGGAAGGAGGTATCCTGTTGCTTGTGCTTCACTTTTAATATCTTGTGCATTTGGTCCTTTAGGTTTCTTGGCTTGGAGTACTGTTGCTCCTAGAAAGTAAACCCTGATTTTGTTGGTATGATCACAGCCAGATGCTCTTTTCTTAAAGAGACCATGTCAAGTTAAAAAATCTGTATGCAAAATTCTGAATATTTCTAATTCTCCTATCTGTAACACTCTAGGATGTTTTGACAGCGATGCGTAGAGAGTCACTTTCCATGATGTCTAGTCTATTTTGTATTTTGTCTTTCAGCAGATTTGGAGAATTAAAGTTTCCTAATAGTAGGCACTCTCTAATCAGTATAGCTTTGGGATTGTCATTGAAATTTCTTTGGTTTTATGGCTTTTGATAATTGTGAAGGCCTCTTTGTCTGTGAACGCTTTGCTTGTTAATAAAACAAAATTTGGATCTTGGGATACTTGACAACGTCTCTTTAAACTTCCCTGCCTCTGCTTCATTACAAAATATTTATCAATCTGAATGCTGTTTTCTTCTCTCTTCTAGTTCTGTGCTTTCCCATTCTGAGACATCGATTCTTTCTATGCAGGTGAATTAATTTCTTCCATCTATAAATTTAGGTGGAAAACTGCAGTTTTCATTAATCCTCTTGGAAACAGTGTAGCTACCCACGTGAAAGTCAAAACTGCAGTTGCGTGGGATGGCTACTTGTAGATGTTTTTAGCAACTAAAGCTACCCATGTAACATACTGTCCTTCTCCCCCTGCAGGTTTAAAAGTTATTGATACAGTTTCTTTCACAGATGTGTTTTCTTATTACTGGTAGTAAACAGCTTTGTTGTCATCCAGTGACATAGTCTGTGGGAGAACAGCAGAGGCTTACACAAAGCAGTTAGAAACATGACCTTGCTGAAAGCAGTTATGAATTTCTGGGGCTGCTCCGCAATGGCTAGATGTCTTCTCAGCTGTTTGTTCAGACCCCAATCTCTTCCGTGCATTTAAGTCACATGGCAAGCAGTGACCTGGTACACTACAAACGTATGACCCTCCAGAAAATACTAGAGCATGTACTATGAGAACTGTGACTTTACGTCAGCATGTTGGGTTAATTCCTTTTCACTGCTGGAATTACTTTTGGCAAAATACCAAAGAAAGGTTAGAAGCGTGTTTGTGAACCTATAGATAACGTGACATCTTTATTTTTGGTTCCTTGAAGTTTATTGCTGCCCATATTTGACAAGGTAAATTGGAATTTGAAGCATCAAATGCCATTTGTCTTCTGTACTTACGTTATTTTAACTCTATTTTAAATGTTTTCTTGGTTACTCTTGCTAACTGGGGTTCTCTGCCTGAAAAATGTTGATGGCTTATTGAAGAATTGCTCTGAAAGAGAAAAGGGCTTTGGAGAAGAAAGAGAGAGCAGCTTCCTCAGTTTAGCTACTCGATGTGGGAGATGATTCTGCACGCTTCTCTAAGAATTAGCTCTTGTTCCATATTGAAACTGCATTAACAGGTTCCTCTATACCGTGATTATTCTGCCCTCTGTTAAACTAACTCAATTACATTAAATTATCTTTATAGATTGCCCCATGCTGATATGAGTAGTCCACTGGTAACTTGTAATATCTCCTGTCTGTACATTTTTCTAAGTTAGTTTTAAATCTTTATGCATGGGAATATCTGCTACTATACTTGTGTGACTGGTAGTGCTCAGTCTTCCCTCTGTGTTGACTGTCCTATTGCATCTTAATATTTGGGGGTTTGTTTTGTTTTATGCTAGATTCTTTGGGATAGTATGTGCTTGCATACGTTAGCAGAACCTTTATGTTGGAAGGGGTCTCTGACTTATGAGAAAGTGATTTATCAAAGCACAGTCAGAGTAGTTTCGATAAAATTCAGTTGGGTCTATGGCATTGTTTGTTGATGTATTTCTTCCCTACTGAACTTTTCCCAGATTGTTGGCAACTTGCTCTACTATCGCTACATGAATCCAGCCATCGTCGCACCAGATGCGTTTGACATCATTGATCTTTCCGCTGGAGGTCAGCTGACCACAGATCAGCGCAGAAACCTGGGTTCCATTGCAAAGATGTTGCAGCATGCGGCATCCAATAAGATGTTCATGGGAGACAATGCACACCTAAGCATCATTAATGAATACCTGTCACAGTCGTACCAGAAATTCAGGTAGAAGACCGTAGCTAATTAAGTTGGGAAATTTGGCAGAGATTAACACTGAAAGTAAAAAGGGATAATAAGTTTTACATGTGATAAATTCTATCTCTGTCAAATGTGCAGTCTGTTGAAAATAAGAGATTGCACTCCAGACCACCCTAAGCATCAATGACAAATGCAGATAAAGCGAGTACCTGGAATTTATGCAGTGTATGTTAATGGGATTGCAAAGTCAAGTATTTTGACTTAAGAGTTTCCAGAATAAAGGTTGCTTTTGCATGTGCTTATTGTGATACTTTGGGTATGGACAACTAGAATAGATGTGCATTTTTCTGTCCCATATGAACTGTAGCTCCACATGAAAACCCAGTGGTGCTCAGGAATAAAGCAGGTTGGTGTTCAGATGTTCGTATAGTTGAAGGTGAGCTTTTGTTCAAGAATTGCCATCTTGCAGCTATCGTGTTTTGGAAGAAAGAAGGTCAGATGGCTGGTAGCAAGGGGTGCTACTGCAGTGGAGGCAGGAGGGTGCGTGAACAACGTCACTGATATAGAGCAGTCCTCTGAGTGCTAAAAATGAGTCAGTATCAACATGGCTGCTATCAGTAATTGAATGTACTGGGCCACTTCGGATGTGTTAAACTAAAGCTGACGAATGATATTATGCTGTGATATGGTTTGAAGAAGAGAGACTACGCTTAGGATTGTTGTGGGGATAATGCTCTTGATGTATCGCGTACAGAGTCGTACTCTGAGTCGTATCTCTCAGAGTCGTACTGATTCTTTTCTCCTCCTTTTTTCTGAAGACGGTTTTTTCAGGCTGCCTGCGATGTTCCCGAATTGCAGGATAAATTCAATATTGATGAATATTCTGACTTGGTGACTCTCACTAAACCAGTTATTTATATTTCCATTGGTGAAATCATCAATACACACACTGTAAGTATACATTGGTCACAGTTGCTGCTTGTAAGTAGTGCTTACAAAGAAAATGCTACTTCTGGATGTAACACAGTTACCAAATGCAAGGCTGAAAGTTGTCTTTTGATTGTAATATGTAAGAGCTTGGCAGTTCATGGAGTTAGTAATTTGCTTGTGGCTTCCCTTTCTTTTGAAAGTATTTGAGCAAGTACTGATGCCACCACTTTGAATGTTGATGTTGCTGCTTTGCAGTTCAGTGACTTAAGCTCTTTTTCTAAAAGGTGTAAGGTAATTTTACTGTCTAGAAAAGGATGTACTATTAACAATATAAATGTTCTTTCTGTTCATCTAGTTGCTCTTAGACCATCAAGATGCAATTGCTCCTGAGCACAATGATCCTATTCATGAGCTGCTGGATGATCTTGGAGAGGTTCCTACAATTGAATCCTTAATAGGTGGTCAAGTTTATTATACTTAAGAAATATGTGATATTACCTTAAATGATTTGAAGTCTGGTAAAGAAACTATCTAAAGAATCATCACAGGTTATTTGGGAGCATGCACTCGAAAAACAGCAGCAGATTTGTTCCAGTGTATTCTCTCTGACTGCAAAATTTGTTACCCTGAAAAAAACAGGTCTTCTTTCTGTTCTCCTTCTGGCCCCCTCCCCCCACCTTATTCCACTCCGGGATTTTCTAGGAGCAGACATATGTTCTGACATGTTTTCTTCATTGCATTACACTGGAGCTATTGCACAAAACATAAATTCATGGAATCCCAGGTTGAAAGGGACCTCAAGGATCATCTGGTCCAGCCTTCCCTGGCAAAAGCACAGTCTCGAGAGGCTGGCCCAGCACCAAGTCCAGCCCAATCTCAGCAGTGGCCCATCCTGGGGGCTCCACCGCAGTGGCCAATCCTGGGGACTCCACCGCTTCCATGGGGAGATTATTCCAGTGGCTGTTTGCTCTCATTGTGAAAAATTTTCCTCATGTGTCCAGTCAGAATCTCTCCAGGAGTAATCATTGCCCCTTGTCTTTTCCATGAGGAGTCTCCATCTTCTTTGTAGCCGCCCTTTAAGCGCTGGAACATGGCGATAAGGTCTCCCCTAAGCCGCCTTTTCTCGAGGCTGAATAAACCCCCTTCTCTCAGCCTTTCCTCACCGGACAGGCTTCCCAGTCCTTGGATCCTCTTTGTGGCCCTTCTCTGGCCCCTTTCCAGCACTTTCACGTCTTTTTTTGTGTAGCGGGGACCAAACACGATATTCCAGATGTGGCCTGGCAAGCGCTGAGCAGAGAGGGATAATGACTTCTTTATCTCTACTGGTGGTGATGGTCCCTATGTTGCAGCTATTTGAAGTGTGGGGGACACACACACGGAGGGGACAGGACTGAACTAGACATAGTTTTTGGAGAGGATACTTTCACGGCAGAATGATTATCTTGAGGTTGTTTGATGAGAAAGGTTGGAATCTTTGAAAGGAACGATTGCTAGCATGTGTTCTTCTGAGCGCTGGCAAAGAACAGAATGTAAGAAGTGTTACTTGTGTGAACCTAAACGTTAGCTAGAACTTACCCTTCTTCCCCATTTCATTTCTCCTGTGTTTATTGTATTAATATGGTTAATATATCAAAATTTAATCTTTCTGCAGTGTTCAAAAAAGGGAAGCAGAAGCTTCCTAACAACTGTCCTGATGAAAGTTCAGAAACATTTAGAGCAAGAAAATTTCCTTTTGATGGGATAGCTTACTTAATTTGATAGAACATCACAAGCTCAGTTGCTAACAGAGATTTTGCACTTAGCTTGGAAAATTCATTCTAATGAGGACATGGATATAGAGGCATGGTCATATTTTTATTTTAAATTACTTTTGACAGGTAGGTACTCTTCTCAGTAGAGAGCGAGATGTTGAGATACAACATCTCAAGGCATACAAACTAGTGCCTTTCTGGCCAGTGCATTATCTCCATTTTGTGAAGAAATAAGTTTGTAACATATTCAAGACGATGTATTTAAAAGCTGGTTTTGCTTTCTGAAGTGTCCTTTTGAGAGTACAGGAAACAGTGTAGTTTTTCTGTGGTCTGTTACGTATGGAAAAGTTACAAAGCTGTAGCAGTCAAGAACATAAAGAATATGATTTATTCTCTAAATTTCTTCTGCTTGGCAGGGGAAGGGTCTGGCAATGTTAATGACCCCAACAGGGAAATACTAGCAAAGACTGAAGTTTCTCTCACACTGACTAATAAATTTGATGTTCCTGGTGATGAGAATGCAGAGATGGATGCGAGGACAATTCTGTTGAAGTAAGTAAGGGGTAACTACCTGGTATGTTTCTCAAGAGAATGAGCAACCTGAATTTTCTCAGTTAGCTCAGTCCGTTGAGCTTGGTGGTGTTAACACCAAGGCCGTGGGTTTGTACCCTACTCGGTCCCCATGTGTTGCCTGATCTAGTTGAGAGGCATCCCTGCCCATGACAGGGAGGTTGGATTAAATGATCTCTCAGGTCCCTTCCAGCCTAGCCCATTCTATGATTCTGTGCTTCTGTGTACGAAAATAAGAGAATCAAAGTGTAACTTAAATAAATGCGGGACCATTACTCCAAGTATGCTGATCTTGTAGCCATGTTCCTTCGATGCTGCTGCTGTTAAATTTGTTCTGGTTAGTTCTCTTGTCACTGTTGAATTTATCTTTCTTTGAAAGTCTTATCTCGGATGATTCTGGAGGGGAAGGCTGCCAGAGAAGGACACTTCATAGATGCAAGCAAGTGTGAAAACAGCAGTTGTATTTGCCTGCATGTGAATGATTTGTAACAATCAATCCATAGTGTTGATCAACGGTCTAGCTTTGGATTTTTTAACCATGGGGAGGTTTACACGGCACCTGGTCTACTAAAACTGGATGGGGTTCAAATGACGCCACGGGGAAAAGGGATCTTCAGTCATGAGTTGGCAGCGCTCGTAGAACATGCTTTAAACTAGATATGAAGGGGGAAGGGGTAACAATCACATCAAATGAAAACGACCCTGGGATACACATAGTGACATCTGAAGCAGAGTCACTGGCAAAGATGTGGTACAATAGTACTTTGTTGGGGGGTTCTGGTACGTTATCAGAGGCCCGGCTCATAGGCCTTTATATGAACAGCCGCAGCTTGGGTAATAAGCAAGAGGAGCTGGAGGTGCTTGTGAGTCTGAAGCACCACGACCTGATCGGCATCACAGAGACATGGTGGAACGACTCCTGCGATTGGTGTGTTGGACTAGAGGGGTATAAACTGTTCAGGAAGGACAGGCAGGGGAAACGAGGAGGAGGTTTTGCCCTCTATGTTCATAAAAGGCTAGAATGCATGGAGCTCCACCTGGCAAGTGATGACGAAAGAACCGAGTGCCTGTGGACCAGGGTCAAAGGAAGGGCAGGAGACTTTACAGTGGTCTGTGCTACAGACCACCCAACCAGGAGGATCAAGTGGATGAGGCCCTTCATAAGCAGAGAGGAGCTGCTGCTCGTTCACAAGCTGTGGTCCTCGTGGGGGATTTTAATCACCCAGACCTCAATTGGAAGAACAACACAGTGGGGAATAAGCAATCCAGGAGATTCCTGGAATGCGTCGATGACAACTTCCTTCTCCAAGTGATCGAGGAACCAACGAGGAGAGGTGCCATGTTGGACCTCGTTCTCGTCAGTAGGGAGGGGCTTGTGGGAAATGCTGCACTCGTGGGCAGCCTTG